TTAGATATATAGATGATGAACGTGGAGCTAAATTTAGTACTGGAAATATACTTACTAAATATTATCCCAGATAACTTTAACCAAAATGATAAATATTTACTAACATACATCTGAACATCATCTAGAATCATGGTAGCAAGATATTGGAAGACGGAAAAGTTACCCTCTAAGATAGAAATAGCAAAGAAATAGCTGGATATAGCTGAATTAGACAAATTAACAATGCTGTTATGTGGAAAAGAAGAAACTAAATTTCAAAACAAATGGTTAAAAGTGTATAAGTGGTGGGAAATCTTTTTACTATGTACAAGACCTCCAAAAAATGAATATAATTGTATAGAAATGTTTGTGGCTGTATAATGTAAAACTACATAAATAAAGTATTTTTTAAAAAATATTTCACACACGCCCTCTTTATAGGGTTTTTTTTGCCCTTCTAGGAAGTCATTGCAAATAAAAGAACAAGGCTAGTTTCTCTACCAGAGAACCTCAAGACAGAGCTGAGCTGGTGGCGGGAACCAGCGAGGTTTCAGTGGGCTGTACCACTTTGGGAACCAAAGAGAGTGGTGATGAACACTGATGCCAGCCTATCGGGTTGGGGAGCGCATGTACAAAGAAGGATGACTCAGGGCAACTGGTCGCACAAGGACATAACCCTAACCCTAACCCATTTTGGTTACCTCATTCTGTCTCTTGGAAATGACATGTATGTGCACGACACACATCCGTGGGTCTGCCTTGTTTACTGGGTGTAAGATGTCAAATTATGTCATTCTGCACAAAAGCTTCCTTTTGCACCTTCTGCAAGAGAAACAGGATCATGGAATTGCATTGAGGGTTGCACAACTGAGTTCAAGGATATGTGTTCTTTTCTCTTAACAGACCAAACCTCAAAAGACAATTATGCTTTGTGCAGCAAATGCAAGTACTTTAATCCATAGTTCCCAAAGTTTATTATTACAGCCCATGGCCAGTATAGATCAAAACAAACTAGTTTACATAAAATACAGAAAGTGCACAGCCATTTGTATGGGAATATTATAGTAAAATGTACAGACTTGAGAAAGAAGTGTTTAAATGAAGAGAACTTATAATATTCTTGAGGGGGGAATGCAAAACCTAGGGGACAGTTATCACTCCTTTATGTAATCTTTGTGGAGAACTTTAATCAAGTTGTCCGTTGTACTCTGTGTTGGAATAGTCTTCTAGGGTTCCGTAGTGGGAACATGGCTTAGTTATGCGATTTTACTTTAGGTGAATAGAAATAACGGTGTTTGCAAATGACCATATGACGATTTTGATGTCTGAAGAATAAAAGATCTAAAGGTAAAAATAATTGGGGTCAGGTTATTAAAATGTGCTTTAGAGCTCTTTTCTGTTCAGAATAATGTACACTGGTAATATATGGGTTTGTGTGGTTTCTTTTTGTTATTGTTATGCTCCTCTCCTTATTCAGTTTTAGCTTTCTATAACCATTCAGACTTGGCCACTGCAACATTTTGAGATAAATGCGCTATATGAGGCTCTGAAATTTTCTTATTTTTGTAAATATTAAGACTCAGGGAGCAAAATAAAAGGGGCTATATTGTGGATTAAGTGAAATATCTCAAGGCTGCTCTTTTCTGATAACTGAACCTGAAGTGACCTTTCTCAGACACAATTACAGAGCTGTATGTTTTTCCTTTAATTTCATCAGGGGTTTAATTAGTATACAAATAAAACTTCTCTTATCTTCCTTTCTACCTAATTGGCTTGTCTTCGCTTATATATGAAGCATGTGAAAGTGGGCTGTAATTAGGGTGACCGTGTTAACCTCTTTTTTCTCAAACGTACTCCTGCCTCAAGGCCTCAAGGCCTAAAAAGAGTGCTTTTGGATTATTGCTTTGCAATCACAGTGGTTCTCCCATAGGCTTTCTCATGAGCAGAAGGGCTTTGGGTGCTGCCGGTTCCCACTGCTTAACGGGGATCTTCATTCTTCTCCCCTCTAAATGTTTATTGATTATCTCACTGTTCCACACTCAGCCTCCAACAACTTAATATCAGGTGACAGTCAGGAGAGTTCTCCAAGTAATTAGAGTTGAGCATTGGGGGAACAATTAGGACCAGAGTTATTAAACTTGATTTATCCTATTCTCTCCTGAACAGTTTCTTGGATATCAGAACATCACACTTTTACAATCTACCCTGGTTGAGAAATTAGTGGCTAACCTGCTGCTTATCATTGTTGCCTTGCTGCCTTGAGGCACACCCTCTTGGTTTCAGTCATTCAGCTGAAAATATTAGAGTCCATAAAGTTTATCAGGGGTTTTAATTAGATCAATCTGAAGAAATGGTAAGGGGAGGGGGGAGAGAAGAGCCTTAGCAGCTGAAAGTTTATTACTTTAAAGCATCCTGGGCTGTGGTTCAGACAATTTTAAAGGTTTATCTAACCCACAAAGACCAAGGGTTTTTTTAAAAAGTGTAGCGACAACTTTCTCTTGAATGTGTTCATTGAACCTAGATAATACATGAGGAAGGCCAAAACAAATGTTCAGTGTTTTGTTGTCTGCAAGTTATTCTCTACCTCTTTGACTTGCAGAGATTTCTTGTCATTGTTTTTTAGAAAAAAATCTAAAAACAAATCTTCAAAAATGCCAACTTTCCATTATTTCATCTGAGGCAAATGGGTTAGGTAATGGTGAAAATGGAGTGCATGGATAGAAAATGGGTGTTGTGTTGGCTCCTGAAGTGGACATCACAGCCATTTGGTGATACTGCCCTTTAAGCAAGGCTCAATTTTAGTGATTCACTAATACAGTGAAAAGAAGTATGTTAAGTAGGGGAGAACCAAACATCTTTAAGTAGGAAGAGCAAGAAATTGGAAAGGTGGAAGAAATTAAATAATTTAGCTGGACTTAATTTGGCTGGCGCACACATCTAGTGTTTATTGTAAGTGACATCAGGAAGGGTTCCCAACCCTGGCTGCTTTACTGGTGTTTTGTCCTAGCCAAGCAATGAAATGATTTATCTGCATATATTAATTCCTTGTGATTGTTTGTGAGCTACTTTTGTACACGTGCCACACTGTGATACTAACTGGAATTAAGTCCTCTTGATATCAGTGGGACTTGCTTTCTCATAACGGCTACAGTCAGAACATTTAAAGCATGCTTAAGATATATTGAAGTGAAAAGGCTTTAAGCATGTTCAACCTTCAGTGGATTGCAGTTGCCAGGCACTGACCAAATAAATACCTGAGACTTTCTGCATGTACATTAGTTGTACACTCCATTATTTGTATACTTACAGCTTAGTCAGAATATGGCATCTGGTCCTATTTCCATCTTGCCAGACCTTTTCAACATTTTTGGGGGTATGCCCCAAACTCCCTAACTAATCCCAGAAGTCCATATATAAAGATCTGTAAAGATTTTGCGTCAATCATCCTGTATACAGCTACTTCAGTGAAATGACATAGTCAAGAGTTTCAAAGCTAATTCTAGTGTCCAAGGTATGTTTTATAATTCTCATTTTCATGAATGCAAATATGGCGCCCTCCCAAATGCATGTCCATCTCTTTCAAAAACAAAGTGACAAATGACCCTCTGTTCTACAGGTGTTAATGTAATCTCAGGTTGTGTGGTATAAATCTCTAGGGCTTCTATTGCAATATTGAGTTTCCATTGACGTTGGCTAAGTGGTTGCTGAGCCTTTCCCAAATTCCTCTGGTGCTTGATGTTTTCAGTCATCAGATGGATGCTGTTAGAAATGTGTTCAGAGTGTTGTAGATATTTAAAATTCCTGGCTACATTGTGAAAGCTATAACTTCTTAATTTGTCAAAGTAGCATATAGGAATTTTGTTCTGGAACAGCCCAGTTTAAAGCCTTTTGCAATAAACATAGCGACCAAATGTAAACTCTTTTTAAAAGGCACACTTTTGGAATTAGTTTTTTTTTATGTAACAAAGTCTAAATACACACTAGCATAAACAAAAATGCAGAAACAGTATATTACCAAAAATCTAATATAGTGCTGGCACTCTGATGGTCTATAACAATTGTGAGCTCTTTCCCCAATGGGGAAGGGCAGCTGAAGAGGAGCAACTCAGACTGTGAAATAAAAATTGGTCTCAGCAAGTTGAATCCTTTGAAAATATTTCCTTACAAGAAAAAAGAAAGGAGTAGGCATTCATAGTTTCCATATAAGCCAGTGCTGTGTAGTGGTTAAAATGTTAAACTAGGATTTGGAAGACCCTGATTTGAATCTCAACTGCCGTGGAAGGTTGCTGGGTGATTTTGGGCCAGTCACACACTCTCAAACTAACCTACCTCACAGGTTGTGTTGAGAGGATAAAATGGAGGAGAGAAGAATGATGGAAGCTGTTTTGGGTCCCCATTGGGGAGAAAGGCGAAGTATAAATGAAGTCAGTAAAAAAATGTTGATCCTTTGAGAATTGTATATATTCTATCAATCTGAACTATTTTTTTAATTTGAAACATTTATGTTGAAGAGAAGCCGGGGAAACCTTCAAGAGACAGAAACCATGCAATGTAATTTGCATGCTAGCAATAATTGGCAGCATGGTGAATACCAATACTGGAAGAAGTATAGGGATGCTTCTCTTCTGTTTATATTTGTTTTACCTCTTTCCTTTCCGAGCCGTATTACTCAGTGTCTTTAACTACCTTTAGTGGTTTCATATACTATGGACTTTTCTTTCAAAATAATACTTTATTGAGCTATTTTTCACTATTAAAATGGATATTGTCATGAAATTGTAGAATAATTTTGACATGCAGCACTCGTAATATCTTTGACTATACTGGACTGAGGATGGGATTTTTGTTTGCTATATAATGCGCTGAATGTTTGAACAGGTAAATAGGAACTATTTTTATTAGAAAATAGCCTCAATCTATTTCACAGTCCGTCTGTATTCCTCTTTGTTTAATAGCCCATGGCATAAATTGAAGTTAATTATCGGAGCTGACAAGTAACTCTGTTTTCTGTCTGCTCTCAGAGTCTCTCCGAGGCAAAGATGGAGCTGAGAAGAAAAGATCAATCTCTGCGTCAGCTCAATAGACATCTTACCCAGCTGGAGCAGGACAAGCGTCGACTGGAAGAGAGCATCCACGATGCAGAGAGTGCCCTCCGCATGGCAGCAAAGTGAGCACTGGGGCCTTGGGGAGATCACTTGAAACAGACAAAAGATCAATTCTTACTTTCATGCAAAGGGTTTTAGGCCTGGATAATGCAGCCCTGGAAAACAAAAGTACAGCTGCCTTTCTTTGAAATTTACTGCAAGATCCTCTTGAAGAAAGAAAACTTAGTTCAACATACTAATGGCCCATTTCAGTCATTTAGGGATGGGCTTGTTGTGGCACAAACATATATTCCTATTGCACAATGATTGAGCCACCATTCCCGTCCCCTCCCCCAACTTGTAGTGGTGCAGCTGTCCTAACAAAAGAGCAAAGAGTTCGATAGAAAGCAGACGTTGGACCAGAGAGAGCATATGACAGTTGGTGTACCAGATCTGCAGGAGCCAGGAAGCGAAATGTACATAGCATTTGCACCTGTAAGTCACAACAGTGATGCACAAGCATGGTCACCCATGGAACCAGTACTCAGGATTTGGTAAGGAGTACCAATAAAAAACACCACATTTTTTCACAGCAGCAAGAGGTTTCTGATGTCCCTTTGCTTGGTGTATGCACAAACACACACTCAAAACATCCCTCTCACACAAACCTTGGTGGCAAAATAAAAATCACTTCTGCCCTGCTGCAGAATAGAGTGTATACACAGGAGACATGTTCACAACACCTTTCACACAGAGGGAAGCAAACACCTTCACCTGCTTTTGTTCAGATGGAACTGCTTATGCTCTTCTCCTCAAGGTGTAGCACTCACTCTAATGTGTGACATTATGACTCAATGCACACAGGACAGGAAGGCAGAAAGAGATTTTTAGGATATAGTACAAAGTGGGGTGATTCACCCATGAGCAGGAGCATAACATGGTAGTGGAGTGCAAGATGTTGTACTGATATCTGCCATCTTAGGGAGTTTGGCAATATATAGTGATATACCATGTGTTCATCTTAAGTTCTTTTGAACACACTTTGAGGCCAAGGCTGAAGATACGGAGTGGGGGGGGATCAAAATGGGGGTCTAGCCCATCATCATGATGTGGCTTATTTATGACAGTTCTGAAATAAACTAGAAATGTTTCTTTTATCAGACAATGAAGTATATATCCATATAGCTGAAACAGCATCAAGGAGGGGTTCTATATTGCAAGTTTGTACTGGTTCCAGCCAGTGTTCCCTCTAAGCTGAGTTAGTGTGAGCTAGCTCATCATTTTTTAGCCTCCGGCTCACACAATTTTGACTCAGCTCAGGAAGGATGGCTCCAGAGCAAACTAATGTAGGCAGTAGCCAAATTGCTCGCTCACAACTTTAACGCCAGTAGCTCGCAAGGTAGAATTTTTGCTCACAGGACTCCACAGCTTAGAGGGAACATTGCAAAACTATAATCTGGCACTGTGTGACTATGTACAGCAATTTTATTGGAATTCTGAATATGTCTCTACCTGTCTTCTCCTCTCTTCGTTTACCTTTTCATATCCGAAAGCTCCTTTTGGGAAGATATTTTCGATCAGTGCACATTTTAGTAAGGGAACAGATTCCCCCCTGCGCCTGCCTTGGTAGGGAGAAGATTGTGTCCCTTTCCTAGAAGTGATGAGGGGCAACAGGACCTGGATATTTTCCTTCAAGTGGACATTCTACCCTTGCCTCTGCTGGTATCTCTTGTGAGGAAGGCTCCCTAGCTTTTGCTCATGTTCCCTCTGTGTTCCTTTCCCATTTATTGAGGGTTGCTGTCACGTGAGCAAATGGCTCAAAGAGCCATTCTAAAAGGAGTGGCTTCCCTGGTAACATTGATGGGCAGCTTGAGCGGAGCGCTACATTTGGTTTTCAACACACTGCTTTCTCCCTGACCCGACCCAGAGCCACGTTTCCTCCGTTTATGCAGCAGTCTTGGAAACTGGCTAAGCAGGTATGCAGAATGAAAGTGGAGGGTATCACTTGGAAGATTAGGAACTCCCTGCTTGCTCCACCTCCCCCGTGCAGTGGAGATGTAGCAGCTCAGGCCTGTGTTTGCTGCCTCACAACTGTATGAGTGAGGAGGAGGAGGGGCCAGCTCTTGAGTCAAGCCATCCAGGCACTTGGTTGGGATGGCAAAATGAGGAAGATATTGACCTGCTGCAGGGGCTCACCTTACTCCTGGCCATTGGCAGCATAGCATGCAACAACAAACATCGCCTCCTGAACCTGTGCCACCACTGGCTGGGTTTGAGCCAAGTCCCAGCAGCATTGCCGTAGGGCTCGCTTGGCCCCAGCTGGTTATATCATGGGAGGAGGTGATAGGTGAACTGTGCTTGGACTGACACAGTGCCTGGCTAGTTCAGAGGACCATCCCCTTCCTGGAGAAGATGGAGCATGCCCCCATGACTGCCACATGGCTGTCTTACTCCCTCTGAGCTTTCCTTGCTGACCTATTTCTTTTGCCAGTTTGGCATTTTTGTGTGCATAGGGTATTTATTCATGGAACAATGTCAGTCTTACATTATCTGCTTCTAACATTTTTGATTTCTGTAGGTGTCTGATCAAAAGACTCCTCAGCCACATGCAAAGTATTCTGAATGTTTTAATGTGTTTTAAATTTTATTGTATTTATCAAAATGTTGTGACCCGCCCTGAGCCCGCCCTGAGCCCATTTACGGGATGGGCGGGATATAAATGCAAAATATAAATAAAATAAATAAATAAATGTGGGCATGGCATTTCATTAACAAGTACCATGACAGCTTGATACCTATGCCACATTGTCCAGCATGGCATCCTAGGTGGACCTGATATCCACCATCATTAATCAGCTATTTACACCATATGCTTGACCTTCAGTCAGCTCAAGAAGAGGGGGAAAAGCTGCTTATGGCAGTCTCATTATAGTTATCTAAGCTATCCGTTTTATGTTTGCACTGAAGTGATTCAAAGATAACAACTCTTGGGGCATTTGGTAATGCTCATTCTCGTAATTTATGTGATGATTGTAAGCATACCTTCTCCCCTCCTTTTCAACAGAGAAAAAGACTCAATTGCTACTTATATGAGATCAGTGGAAAGCACTCTTCAGAATGTAAGTAACATGCTCAGTTCTCCCTTCCCCATCGTATCTGTATCTCAGGAATTGCATTTTGGAATATTCCCCCTCCCCCCAAGAATGTGGTTAGAAGCGAACAAGAGTGGCTTATAGTTAAAGCGGGAGACCCTGATTCACTTCCCCTCCTTGCCATGGAAGCTGGCTTTGTGACCTTGGGCCAGTCACGTACTCTCAGACAAACCTACTTCACAGGGTTGTTGTGACAATTAAGTGGAGGAGAGGAGAACAATGTAAGCTGCTTTTGGGTCCTCACTGGGGAGAAAGCTGGGATATAAGCAAAGTGTTGTATTGTCTTATCCATAATGGGTTGGATTTAAAGGCATTGTTCAACTGGTGGGATGGCAGTTCCACCTGTACAGTGGCACTTCTATTGATCTGGGAGGGGAGATGCTTGTTTTCCAATTCCTCCATATCTCTACAGACCCCCGCTGCTCTCCCTTAAAATCCCAAGGAGAGTAGAACTTCAGGGGGGTTAGTGGGCTGCAGCATACGAAGGGGAGACAGAGACGTTACATGTTACTGGCTTTATTCTGCTGCCTGTGCTTTAGACCTAGTCTGATTTTAGTAGGCTATCAAAATACTGTAATTTTTTATTTCTGAAATTCTATGATTGGAAGTCACTAAAATATCTGAATATGAAAAGATGTCACCTTGAGTTGTGCTTTTGCTAAGGTTTTGTTGTTGTTGTTGTTTTTTTTGTTAAATGATTTTTTTGCTTTCCAGCTTGCAGTCCAGGTCGTCTGATAACAAGGTCATACATATTAAGAGATAAAAATAGGTGTGTTCACAAATCTCAGAGGAATGGTTCACATACATGAAGCAGTTGCTTATTTTCTCACTTGTCTTTTTGTTAACCAGACAGCCTGTCTCAAGTGAATCTCACTTTGGGGGGTTTTCCAATCACATGAGACTAAAATCCCTTGAACCCGCCTCCTCCCAAACCATGTGAGGAAACCGTCGATATATCAAAGTTCCCAAACCAGAGCTGCTGACTTCTGCTCCTTTTGTCACTGTGTCATTCTCAGAACTGAGCCTGGGGGTCAAAACTTGGACCATGGGAGGGCAGTTCATTAGAGGGGAAGCTACACTTTGGGCTATGGTTAATGTGTGTACTTGCCTGTACTGAAAACAATACAACCAGATCAGAAGCTTGCTGTGAGCTTTTCTGCAGATCAGATGAATTGTCTTCTTTGTCGTTGCTTCCGGTTTCCTTGTGTCTGTGTATGTATAAAGTATTGTTGCTCATACTTTTTCTTGTGCTTGGTGGGTAGTATTTTAAATAACTTATCAGAGCACACAGAACCTAGGATGTGGATTCTTGTATGAAATAGATAAAAATAAATATTATATTTGGTAGTTGCTTTCTTGTGAGCAGTCTGGAAAATCAGGCCAGAAAGGTAACTGCTAGTCTAAAATATTAATGCAGACGATGCTTTTGGCTTTTTTTATAACAGTGGGAGAGCAATGCCACAATAATGTAGAAAGACAAGAGAGTTTACTCTTAAGACCTTCCATTGTAGGAACAGGCCTATGTTGGCTGTAAGAGATTATACATAAGGCTAATTTAACAGCAGTAACAACATACGGACAGGGAAGAGTACTGGTAAAATCAAGATTATAAGTAGGGTGTTTAATTCCTATGTGCAGTGCTAAGCGCTAAAGTAAATTGTGTATATATCAATTTTATAACCCAGAGATGTTGCTGATATCCCCCAAAGTGAGTACAAATTCTTTTTCTTAAACTTGGGCAACTTGGACTGCAATCTACAAACTCTTGCTACTGATATACTTGCACATCAGCCATCTATTAGCATCTACTGATGAGCTACCCAACTTGACCTCTCTATTACCCTGTGTAGTGTGGTCATCTTTATTTGTACCCCTCAGCAGTGAGGATGGGGTAAGATGTTTGCAATGAGTTCTTTGTGTTTTGTGGTGTACTTCAAACAGGAAAATGTCTTGAACTCTGTTCCCTCTCCTTTCCCTCAGCTTCAAATCCAATTCTTTTAAATGTTTCCCTCTATTGTCTTTAATTTCATCTTATTGCTGACTTATAACTGTCCAGCCCACCAGTTAAGAATCTCCCCAAACCCTGTGCTCTGTATCCCCCCACCTGCAGACATCAGGCAAGTCACAGGACCAGTTACAGGATTTTTTCATTGGTGGTTCCTTGCCTTTGGAATGTCCTCTCCATTGAAGCTCACCTGGCAATCCTCCCTTACTCTCTTTTTGGTGGCAGGCCAGTCTATTTCTCCTTACCCAGGATTTTAACTAAGGAGTTTTAGCTGTTTTATGATCTGCTTCTGTTATGAGGTTTGATTTGCGGACCTGTTTTAAAGTGCTCAGTGGTCGTTTAATGTCTCTATTTTGTTTTTAATGGCTGAGTTTTTGGTGGTGGTTATTTCTTATTTGTTTTTAATGATTTTCTTGGTATTAGTTTGCTTTATTACGAACTGCCTCAAGCAGGCCTCTGGAGAGGAGGCCTATAATTTTTCTAATAGTTTTTGGTTTTGACCTGGAAATGTAACACTTTGGGTAGAGGTTCTCAGAACTGCAATTATCGTTGGCTTTTGCTTACCACTATCTGGCTAATAGGGTTGGCTGCTTGGGGACCTATAGGGCTACGTTGTCCAGTTCACTATGTTTTGAACCCGTTGCCTGCAGGTTACACTTTATATTCATCACATGAAAAGCAAGCTCCAACTGCTGAGGAATCTGTTGGGAGGGTCCTTTCAGTTGATAAACTAGGAAAGCTGGAGGTGTTTGCCTCAAACCACCCCCATTGAGAGGGCAGGGGGCATTGCTGTCCATGAGCTTTTATCTCTAGCTATCTCACACAGCTACTCTCCCTTGCTTCTCAGCTGCTTTGGGAGATGAGCTGTCAGTTGCCTTTTGAGTTCTCCACAGTCAGAGCCTGGTTCCTTTTCACACGGCAGTGGTAATGTGTAGCCATGCCTTTGGCAAACTTGACAGTAGGGTAGCATGTCATCCCATCTTGGGCTTGTTTTCTTTCTTTTTAAGGAAAATATATATCTTTTTCTTTTAGCTTAATATTGGTCTGCGGCTTTCACAAATACTTATTTAGTATTTATATAAGAAAGTGGATACTTTTAGTAACTTGCAATTCTATCAAGTGCCGCTGAAACAAGAAGAATCTCTGGCACACAGACCTTGATCAATGGCACGTAATTGCGCATGCAGCTCCCCTAGAAAATGTGGAGGAAGAACAGGGACATCTTCACTTCCTTGTGCAGTGTTCTGAGGGACAATTTGAGCCTCATTGGCTCCCTAAGAAGCAGTAAAAATGTACATATTTACAACATTTTTAAAAATTCAATTCCAAAGTTGTTTGTGAATTTATGTTATTTATCTTTCTCACTAAGGCTTGAGATGGATTACACAGTGTAAGTCAATGCAATCAAGGGGATATGACATAGTGTGGAAGGAGCAGGGTAATACATACAGTCTTTCACACACACACACCCCAGTATTCTAGGTTGAGCTTTGGGACTTGTAGAATTCCCAGAAAAAATGAGGGCTTTGAAGTTCAGCTAGTCCTGTCCCTACACTGTCAGGAGTCTCAGGTCCTTCACTATTGTTTTCAACTTTGGCTGATACATTTCTAAAGAGATTAACATCATGCTATTTCTTTTCTGCCTTCTTTGATCATATGTACCACAGTTTCTGCTAACTGGACACAGTAAAATGGTCACCAGCACTAAGAGTGTTCAGTTTATTGCAGTAAAAAAAAAATCCAAAAGAATAATCCATTTTGTCTGTTTTACTCATTCAGATATTTCTAAGAACATATTTGCTCATGACCTACAGCCTCATCCCCTTTAGTCCCAAACTGTTTCCTTTAACTTAACCTGGTCAGTAGGCAACTTTTGATGTACAGCTTCCTAAGGAAGCATTTTCTAGATCGCACTTTGGCAGCTACTGTGTTTTCTGTCTTTTCCTTCGCAGTATATGAGTGACAGAATTTTGGATTTAAGATATTCATTCTTCATTGTTCTTTTTTGCATTGGGGAAGGAGAATCAAACAGCCCAACCTTGTGTGGGTTTACTTAAGAACAATGTTCCATTGAAATTTATGAGACTTTGCTCCAACTAAGTTGTTTATAGGTTGGGGGATGGAGTGAAATCGTCAGAATTTGTTTACTAGTAATCAGTATGGGCCTGGTTTTTATTGCCACATCTTACTGGTTCTAAGGTCTGTAGTAAATGGAGGTTTCCCTCCAATTCTTGGTGCATGCATAATTTAAAATAACTTTTACAAATACATCTCATCTTCTGTTTTGTTTGAGGATTGTATCTCACATTGCATCTGTTGGGGATGGGAAGGAATGGTGACAAGCATGTAAAATATATTACGGAGATGTCTGTGTTGATCTTCTGATACTTACATGTTGGGAACCAGCTTCCTCATGCATGTGTTGGGAGAGAAACAGACACACATGCAGCCATTCTGAAATTTCATTTGACATGTTTTGTGTTTCCTCAGTGAAGGGGCTACAGCCTATATTTGGAAAAATGATCTGAGGACTCCTCTAGTGGGCTGAGTACACGTGGGGAAAAATGCTACAAGGCCTGCCATGTAATCTGAGTCTAGACGGGGTTAACTAATGAAACAGAATTCTTCAGGTACAGTTAGGTACCATTAGCCAACCGTGATGGAGCTGACTTAATAAAAGGAGAATTGTGCTTTCTGTCTTCAGACACCATCGGCCACCCCTGCAGTGATTAGTAAAGCACAGACATTCCTCCTGCTTTCACTTCATGGCTCAGTAATTATTTACATAGATATTTATACTTCACATTTCTTCCCAGTGGGGACCCAAAGCAGTCTGCACCATTCTCCTCTCGGTTTTATCCTCCACACCCTTGTGGTGTAGATTAGGCAGAGAGAGAGCAAGTGACTGACCCAAGGTTACGCAGTGAGCATCTATGGTAGAGTGAATATTTGAACCTAGGTC